TTAATGTTTTCATATTTTATTTATTTATTTACTTTTTAAAAACTTGTTTTATGATTCGTAAAGCCACCCAGAGTCACCTTGTAGGGGAATGGCAGGCATAAAAAATAAATAAATAGTAACTAAATATACGCATTTGAGTATATGAAGTGGGAACTGGACCAATATGATAGGCAGGCTCCCCAAACTATGTTGATGATCATAAGAGCAATGGATTGGTCCTGAAGTGAAACAAGGGAGAATCCTTTGACTTTGGGAATGAATAAGAAGTGAATATTTGAGGTTTGTGTGTGACAATGCACCAATTATTTTGCTGTGTACATGATAAAATAGCCAAAGGTATATCCAACAGACCTGAGTATAGTCATAATAAAATTCACTGCTGCAGATAGTTCAAGGATATGCGAGTTGCATTTTGGCCAAAGACTATGAGTAATATTGAAATAATGGAACGAATCATCTGCATAATATATACTTGTATTTGTATTGCTAGTTTTGTATCAGAGCCACTGATTGCTATTACCATAATGTTCATATTCACCGATTCTAATTTAATGGCGTGTAAGCATTATGGGACATAAGTGGGAAAATTTACAGCAGGCAGAAGTATGGGCAATGGTGATGTCACAACATTGCAAACAAAAGAACTGTGTGCAGGATAAATGTGATGGGAAGCTGAAAATAGAGCTGATAATAAGACTATAAGCTGTCAAGAAGGAAATAACAGCAACAATGAAGTCTCTAATAGAACACTGTGTTGTTTGTAAATTAAATTTCCTGAAACTTACAAAAGATTTATGATATAAAGAGAACCTGGACATGTTCCAAGGAACGCTAAGCCGATTAACACAAGGAAAGACTTGTGAGAGTGTAGATGTGGAATCAAAGGTCAGTCTTCTGCCAAAATTCACATGTCCTGATGGGAGATTTCTTCTGCTATATGAATCAACATATTTCTAATAAATAATAATTTGTTGATTATGCCAGGGCTGTTCAATCTAACAATCTTGTAGTATAGGATGGGTAACTGGTTTATATGAAGGGAAGGTTAGTTAAAAAGAATTGTGCTTAACCTTGTGTACAGCCATAGCAATACCACTTAGCTTTATATACCGCTTGATAAAGTGCTTTACATCCCTTTCTAACCAATTTACAGAGTTAGCATATTGCCCCCAACAATCTGAGTCCTCATTTTACTGACCTCGGAAGGATAGAAGGCCGAGCCAACATTGAGCTGGTCAAAATCAAACTGTGGCAGCTGGCAGAGGTAACCTGCAATACTGTGTTCTAATCACTATGCCACTATGGCTCTTGTGTACAGTATAACTATTTTGTGCAGAAGATAACAGATGGTTACTCTGAGCTATTTTACCTCATGTACAGGAAGTTTCTGAACAATCGACTCCTAGCCATTCATTTCCTATGACTACAGTTATTAGTATTAACACCTTTCATCTGTCATTGTCCAGAGATTGAGGAAATGGCTTGCAGCTAATGATCAACATTTGTGTACTTCCCTTGAGACAACGTTACTACCGGTATCACATGACATAATACCAAGGGGGTGGGGGGTATGTGGTCATGCGTGGAGGTGAAAGCATGCAAATTTTTATTAGATACAGCAAGCCCTGATAGACTTTCCAATAAAATACATATGAAAGCAGCTGTAGTAGACTATATTTCAGAAAGAGGAAATTTAGGTTATGACTGGTTGGGAAATAATATGCAAATATTTATTTGCCTGACCCATGAAAATATTTTGTAACTGCACATCAGTAGGAAAAAATACTTATTTCAACATCTAAATTGTTGACTCAATCAGATGCATCTTATATACACAGCACTTATGCATGCAGTGTATGTCAATGCTAATATTAATTTATACAGTAAGTGCATGAGATGTAGATCTTCTTCTGGTGGATAAATTTCCTTGTTCTGTTATAGCTCTGGAGTGTTTTTCTTCTGGTCATGCTACTGTTATTACTGCATTTTAAATATATGTGTGATTGGATGTCTCCCTAAGGTGCCTTTTGGTAGATGGCTGTAACAAAGCTATTTAAACAAATTACTAGGCTATGCATAATTGGCATGGAGGCATTATAGGACACATTAAAAATGTAATTCTTAGCTCAGAATAAATGGCAACCGAGTAAAATGCGCTGAATTTAAAAACTCAGGCATTTCATTCTTCAAAATAAGTGTGTCTCAAAGGTATTGTTCAAAAGGACTTCGTTTTTTTCCCCTTGAAAATGTTTCGTTTCTCATCCAAGAAACTTCAGTTCTCAAAATAAGACTGAATTCTTCACAACAGTAGCTACATGAGAATATTGGAGGCACGTTAAGTACTTTTGGTGTGTCAGAAATAAAAATCTTGCCTACTATGAAAAATGAAATGACTTGCTGTAAGGAATTAAGAATATATAGCACAATGTTCTTCAGTGTTTGGTATCTCTTTAATGTAGTAAATAGGTTGGGAAATATTTGACTCTGAAGTAGGTTGCCTAGAGAACTGAAACAAATTGGCTTGACCATTATAATCAAAGAACGTTAAACCAGAGAGTGGTATCAAGTGGAGTGCAAACTAGTTTCAGTGCTGGGCTTGAATGCTGCCCCACTTTTCTTTTCCTTGAAAATGATGACTTGGATGAAGATATAGAAGAAATACATAGGCAATATGCAAAGGTCACAAAAATGAATTTGTAATATTTGAGAGGCAAGAATAAAAACTTCAAAAGACTTTTTGAGGTGGTAGAATGGGATGAAAAGAATATATTACATTTAAGAGGAACAAATCCAAAGCCATTTATTTGGAATGCAGAAATCAAATGAATAGACACAAAATGGAATGAGGGATACTAGCTTTGCTAAGAGTAGTATTTAGGTTTATTAATAGAGGTATGTTTTTCACATTACAGGACATAATTCCATTTCATTGTGTGATGGATAGTAGACTCCAGTGATAGGTTACTCTCGGTTCGGCCAAATTGGTAGTAGCGGTGGCGGGATGCCCCGCCCACCCACCCTGATGCTTCTACGCAGAAATGTTGTACACATGTGCGAGCGAGCAAGCAAGCGAGCAAGCGCACCTGAACTGGTAGTAAAAATATTTGCAACCCACCACTGTTAGACTCCATATTGAATATTATATGTTCAGTTTCAAGGACATACTTTAATAATTTAGACAAATTATATCAGATTTAGAGAAGATAAATGATGACCAGTAACTAGGAACTAAATGTAATGCTATAAAAGATATTCATAGAATTAGGCATGGCTAGTCTAAAAAGAGAAGATACACAATGCCACTCTTCAAATACCTGAACAGACAATCACAAGTCTGTTGCCCATATTTACAGAACAAAAAACAATGAATGTAAATTATAGGACATCATATTTAGTCAAATGATATGAAAAAAATCTAACAAAAGAATAATGCATCCCCTTCACTGGCTGTATTGAACCAGCTGAGGATACTTTATTTTTGGTTATTGTATGGTGCAAAGTGATAAACTAAACTAAACTAAGTGATCCCTTATGATTTTATACAATTATTTACATAAACTCAAACATGAAATCAGTATGCATTATGTTCTGATTAAGTTCACCAATAAGCCATTTAATGGTAACATGATAAATCAAAATCAAAGAATTCCTATTAGAATTTGGTTGATATACTGGCTCTGTGTGCATATGATTTTTTTAGTTTAGAGCAGATTAACAATATTTATTTAATGTGCAACTAATACAAGATAAATAGTGGATGTAAAGCTCAGTTCATCATTTCTTTATTTAATTTGATTTTGACTGCACTCGACTCCAAAATAACCTTGGACAGCTCACAATACAAAATGGAATGCAGAGACAGTAACACAAAATTAATAGATACATTAAGAGAAATAACAGAATGACAATTTGGACAACAGTAAAAATAGACGTGGCTTATCATGGGACTACATTAGGGCATTTATATGCATGTAAATAGGCTGGTAGTAACAATAACTATGTACATTATAGGTTATGTGCACTATATCTGGGCCATGGTTTTCAAATAATGCAGATGAAGCTGACATTACTTTTACTTTAGAAAGTACCTCATAGGATAATTGTTGTGACAAAAAATAGGAGAAAGAAGTACTGCATATGTCACCTTGAATTCTGTACAGAAAAAGGTAAAAGGTAAATAATACATTATGGCAAGAAAGAAATACAGCCATAAGTAAATTATACAGACATTACATTAACAGAGCCATGTACTGGTAACTATTAAAAATGTGCTAAATGTATTACTCTGAAAAGTTTATATTCAAGATTATTTAAGTCAATGCAGAGAAACCACACTCACCTGTGTTTAAGGTATTGTATATTGTCCGCTAAATCGTGCTACTGATAAGTTATAAACTACCACTGCAGGTTTTTTGCATGCTTTATTAAGTTTAATTGTAAGATCAAGAACATAATTTCTAGCCAAGTGTGTATATCTGTTCAACTAAATCATCCATACTTATATTGTAACTAATGATACAAACTAATGCTGCATAGAAATGTTCTTTGATTTATCATGAAAATGCTCATCTTCAACCTATTAAAAGAGAAGGTTAGAATTTGTTTAATTGATAGCAATGCATAATTGACTAGAAACCGCTAATCCGTAAAACCCAGCGGGTTGCCTAAACTATGAAAAATTAGATTTCTCAACTGCCATTTCTTCGAATTTCCAACAGGACAACCTTTCTAAACTGGAAGCCTACATTTCCCAAACAGCAGTTCTTCCCCGAGGATCCACTTCCGCCTAAAGAGCAATGCTTTCTGGGACATGCAGTCCTTGCCTCGGTATCAAATGAGACGGCCGCAATGTCGGATTCCCCCAGATGATGGTAACAGTGTACTGTACTATTTGGGCATGCAAATTTCGTTTCCCCTTCCGGAAGCGACGCCTCTGGTGGGAAAAGTGACGGGAACTGGAGTGGGTCAAAAGAATCGTTGGTAAGTCGAAACAAGATTTTTTTCCCCTTTTGGTGGGCGGGAGGTATCTTTTTCGCTTTAATCTAGCTCTGGTGTCCTGGATGAAGGAGACCGGGGCGGGATTCGAACCCCTTGATTCTTCTGAGTTCTCTTCGGAGAGGAAACAATCGATTCCGAACCTCGAGCGAGGCACCGGTGCGTGGAAGACTCTTTTGCAAAGGGTGAATAATAATACTAATCTGAAATCGGATGGAGCGCGGGAGAGAGTGGATCTCTGAAATTTCTGCAGGGGGAAAAAAGCAGGGGAAAAGTTTTCCTTAATCAGGAAAGGTCTGAAAGATTGGCTTTTTAAAAAGGGTGCCGAGAGTCGTTTAAAATAGTAAAAAAACCACCCGCTTTTATTCTATAAAGGGGTTAGAAATAGAAGTTTTGATCATCTGGAGACTTGGTTGGGGACAACGTGTAGCAATGGAGCAAAGGCGAAGGAGTGCGTGTGTGAACGGGCTGAACTCGGAGGTGTTTGTGTGTATGAATTAAATTCAATTGAAATTGAATTCAGTTGGAATTGAAATAGGAGATTACTCTGATTTTTCTGCAAAAGATGATAGGGTTTGGAAATTACAGAGCAACAATTCCATGAATGAATTTCAATCTGAAAGTGGGGAAAAATCCATTTGGTGTGGGTTTGTTTTGAAATGCGTTTTGAAAATGGGAAGTGTCTCAATCTCATTTAGAATGATTGTTTGGCAAGACTCTAGTAGGGTACAGTAGTTTTTTTCCCCTTCATATTCTGTTAAATGCTATGAATTTATTGCCTTTAGGCATGAACATCTAGCCCTCAAAGAAATCAAAGCAACAGCAAAAAGAAAGTGCTGTTTTAATGCAATGGTTCCCATGAATCCTTCATCTTCTAAAATCTTTTTGACAGCATTCTATAAATATGGACAGAAGTGGTGTGGCTTTAATTTGGAGGTGTTTGTGTGTATGAATTAAATTCGATTGAAATTGAATTCAGTTGAAATTGAAATAGGAGATTACTTTGGTTTTTTTAAATCCTGGCATTGGATAACCCTCTCAATTTTTGGATCTATATATGCCTTGCACTGTCTTCTTTCTTCCTTGATAAATGGATTTACACAGAACGGTTTAGTTGTAAAAGCTCAGGGTGTGTATGTTTGAATGTGTAAAAAATATCCCCATAAACTTTCCTACAATGTTTTGGAAAAGTGGAGCCAACAAGACATATTTATAATAGTTTGCAATTTACATCTTCTTTGGACCTTCACAGTGAATTAACAAGAACTTATATTAATAGGAACAAAACAAAGAATCACAGAGGGCAATGAATATAAGATTGGTTGAGTTTTTCAACATTAATTCCTGTTGATTATGTATTAGATGTGTTTGTCCTTGCTCTATTGACTTTCATTGCAGCATTTTGAAAGAAAACGAAACAGGTCGGACAAGTCCAGATTCAGTCCCTACTATATATTTCCCTTAAATCCTTCCATTATTTGAACCCAAAAGTGAATGAACATTTCAAATTGTTTTCTGTATTACACTCTACATTCATATATTGTCTTAAATGTGATGATTATTATATTCATTGGACAAAATGTGCTTATTATGAGAATGTTAAAATTAATTATGAAACTTCAGAGCATTGGTAATGGCTACTCTTAAGATAAACAGATGCACTGCAGTGATTAAGGTAATGATAAACACTGTATGCTTGTTTTTTCCAAGATAACTTTACTGAATCCAACAGTACTTAATTTCCAAGGAAACATATATAAGATTATAGGCTAATAAGTTATAATTCAAGTCTTGTCTTCTTTTATACTAAGTGCTCTTTCTACTTTTTGAAGATGCCCATCTTAATTTTTTTTAATAAAAAGGATGCAGCCCTCCATCAAAATCAAATTGAATTAATTACATTTGGTGTCAAAATACAGAGTCACTTTCAAACGCACTTCTGTTGAGTTTCCATATAGATCAACCTTATTTATGAATTGCTTAACTCCCAAACTATTGCTTGTATATTACAGATCACATACATAATGCATATTGCTTTAAGTGGAAAATTGGAAGGCATTATCAGTTGATAAGTTCCTGAATAAAGCAATGCGGGTAACACACACTAGCTAGGTTTTTTTTAATCACTGGATTTTTACCATCAGTTTGGTTATATGGAATTTTTGTTGCTCTTAATAGCCAAGTCTAAAATTGTTGGTTGCAGAATTCTGTGAGACATAAAGCAAATTATACTTAAAGAGTATATAAGAACTAATCACAATGAGTAAACTGTTTGTTTAAATTAAAGAGTTACAAATGCTTTCTGTTATCTAATCTGCAGTATATAGCTGCCCTCTTCAGTAAATGACTCAGGGCATTGTATATCATTAATAACAAAATAATCAGTAAAAACCACAAAATACTAAAAAATCCAAAGGAGCAGCATACAAAACATAGGTTCATCCAGAGGGTTGTATCCCTACTAGACTCAATGTCGGGGGTGGGGGGACAGGTCTTCAATGCCCTTTGAATCAACTCATAATTTTCACTTTTAATTTTTACAGTCCTAAATGCTTGGCAGATTACTTAATAGACCATCTAGATCATTGTGAACAAGTCTAGATATACAATTTTGCAGATAAGATTTTTCTAAAGATATGGGTTACTGGGGCATGCTAGAAATGGCCTTTTTGTGTTTCATTCCAAAATTGCAGAATTCATTTCCTTTCTTTTTAACATAATCTTTGAATTACTTGAATTATGGTTTGGATCACCTGATTTTAATACTGCATTATGTACTATTAAAGCATGTTAATTATTCTATTTCTAATTTTAATTGGATTGTTATTTTATAAATGGCAAATCCCATTTATTAGCAAATCAGGATAAAAATCTAGTAATCAAATAAGTAAAACATGATGAAAGGTCATCTTAGATTACTTTCTCCAATTCCAGGTTTGAATATTGGACAGTTTAGCTGAGGAATCTGCTCCTGCAAATACCAGAATTGAGAAGTTTTGTTTGGCATATTAATCAAGGCTTATTAACAGTTCTCCAGACATGTTTTGGACAACTGGAGACATTAGGCTTGAACCCATCTAAGGAATGGTGAAATCAGGTATTCATTTTGCAACATTTTCTACAATAAAGTTAATGGAACAGAAACCATATTTAAATTGGTAGGGAAAAGGAAAGTTTCTACACAAGATCACTTAAGGCTACGTGACATTCCTGAAAATAAACAGGAAGTTTCCCAGGTTGCTGACCAGGTTGCTGACCAGCAAGATGTCCTTCACAGATCTGAGAAAGGCAATAAAAGAACCTCAGCGGAGAGATAAGTGTTTGTCTGCTACTAGCACAACAAAACCACTTGGCTGTGGAATCTGAATCTGTTTATGCAAGAGTCAATCGCCCCCCCCCCCTTCCCCAGCTATGTAAA